ACACATACACACACACACACACACGAATCTCCCCAAGGACACAGAGACACTCACAGCCATTGATTTAAACTGTTAGACAAGAAAGGAAGGCGGAATTACCGTGGTCTCTACAGGGAGTCGTTCTGGCCAGCCATTCCTCACCCACCCGTACCACACCACCCACCCCACCCACTCAACCACCCACACCACCCAGACCTCCTCGCTACAGTTCTGACGTCACAGGCATAGTAAGAAACAATGAGAAAACATCAAGAAGCCTTAATAGGAATTTTTGACAGATAGCTTGGTGATGCTGGTGGGGTCCCCGCTAATGGAAAAAGAATTAAATGGTGAAATTGGTTGTGGAAACTGACCGTAAACCACTATAAATTGTGTCGTATATAACTTTTTTTCTTTCTTTATTTCTTTTTTCTTTCTTTCTTTTTCTGTCTTTCTAATTGTAGCTTTCTTTCTCTGTCTGTCTGTCTTTTTCTTTGTTTTGTCTGTCTGTCTCTCTTTCTCATTGCCTGTCTTTTTGTCTGTCTGTCTGTCTGTCTGTGTCTGTCTGTCCATAAGCCACCATCACCTGCTTCACACAGACACACCTCCCCAGACCGCCTCAAAACATAGAGACTCACTAATGGAGGACATTAAGGTGATGGCGGTGGAGGGAAAAGGTGGCTCTAGAGTTCCTTCTTCTTCTTCTTCTTCTTCTTCTTAGATGCATGAAAAAGTGTTCTGTCGGTAGAGACGGATGGATGAACGGAGTTGGATGGATGGATAGATGGATGGAGACGGACGGATGGATGGACGGAGATTACCGGATGGAGACGGATGACCAGTCAGACAGTGGTTGATGAAAACAAAATTGCAGCAGGGAGTGAGCGACTGAGTCAACCAGTCAGATGACAATCAGCCAATCCCACTCAGTTAGTCAGTCACTCAGTCGTTTAACCTGTCAGCCAGTCACTCTGCTACACAGTCAAGTCAATCAGTCAGTACGGAACTTGAGAGTTTTTGCAGTATCCAGTCTCTCGGCCAAGGATCTCAAGCAACATTTCTTCAGCAGCCAGTCAACCAGAAAGGATCTCTCAGAAGATCCAGTAACCCATGAGGGAAAAGGATGTCATCTCCGGCAGCCATTCAGTCATTGAGGAGGTAAAAGGAGTCCTTCTGTTGCATCGAGCCACTTATAAGATTCCTCAAACAGGTCCAAGGAAGCTGGCGGCCAGATAGAGAGGGGTTGACAGGGGCCCTCGGTAGCAGGCGGCCAGATAGAGGTGGGTGGAAGGCGGCCCTCGGAAACAGGCGGCCAGATAGAGGTGGCTGGAAGGGCCCTCGGCTCATTAGTTTACATCAGCATCAGACAAGATTAAACCACGGCAAAGCTCAACGCTGTCACGTTTCCCGGGGTGTGATGAGAGGGGAGGGAAAAGGGTGATGGAAGAGGAGGGAGAGGGGGAGGTGATAGGTTTGGAAGAGAGGGAGGTGATGAGAGAGGAAGAGTAAGGATGAAGGGAGGGTGGGGGGTGATTAGAGAAGGGATAGGGGGAGTATTTAGAGGGAAGGGTGACGGGGGTAGAGAGTGTTGAGAGAGGAGGCGAAAGGGTTGAAATTGTTGGATGATGGAAGGGAAGGGAGAAGTGACAGCATAAGAGGAAAGATTGAATGGGTGTGAAAGACAGAAATGACACTGGTGTGAGAGAGGGAGAGAGAGAGAGAGAGAGAGAGAGAGAGAGAGAGAGAGAGAGAGAGAGAGAGAGAAAATCACCTGTCGTCCTATGTAAACAAACCAGCCGTGCTCTGAGGCCCAACTCAACAATACACACACACACACACACACACACACACACACACACACACACACACACACACACACACACACACACACACACACACACACACACTCCAGCAGCAACACACACACACAACCCGACGAAAAATGACCACTGGAAATATGGTGAGCATGAACCTGGTGATTTACGGCGCAGCAGGAGGAACAGCAGCTGCAGCGGTGTCGGTAGAGGAAGGGGAGAGAGTGGAAGAGAAAGTTGTTGGTGTTGCAGCAGCAGCAGAAGCGGGAAACAACAACGAGGGTGAATGTAACGATAGTAACAGCGAACGATTCAACTGCGGCACGAAATAGGGCAACAGCAATAACAAAGATAACAACAGAAAGACTTGTGATAGGATTAGCAGTAACAATCAAAATCAGAAAGACTGGTACTAGGAGACAGTAATGACAGCATTGACGGGAGTAGAAAGCCTCAAGAACGGCATAGAAAGGCCAGGAGATGACATCATCAGCAGCTGCAGCATCCTAAAGCAATTTGGTGGTGAGTGTATCTGTGTTAGGGAAGGATTTGGGTGTGTGGAGAGAGAGAGAGAGAGAGAGAGAGAGAGAGAGAGAGAGACTCACAGGGGGTTAAGTGGCGTATAGAACAGTGACACGGAAGAGTCCATACCAGCAGAGCGTCCAGCGGTAGCGTACTGGTAGACGAGGGTAATGGTTGTGACAAATGCAAATAGCGTGTCGGTGGAGGACGAGAAACGCTGTTATTAAAGTGTGTGTGTGTATGTGTGTAAGAAGTGTGGTGGCTGGAGTGATTGATCTGTCGATACTACGGCTGACGGTGGCTGACGGTGGCTGATGGAGACCCTTCAACACTGCATTACCACATCACTCACATCATTATTGGGTCTCCGGGCTAAGATTTATTCCCTCCTCTCGCTACCTTGACTGTGAACTGAGAATATATCCAAGAGGTGGTATTAAATGTTCGGGATTTACTTCTTTTTCTACCCAGGAAGAACAAATGTGTATACCTGGTGTTTGTTTGTCTTGTTCTCAGCCCCCACTGGGAATAAAAAGCCCATAAGGTGAATTTTTTTTTTTACTGTACTGATTCTTATCCTGTAAAAAAAAAAACCGAGATATAAGAAACACAGTGTTGGTAGATGGTGTTTAATTACCCTGTTAGTTGTAGCTCCATAAAACTAAGACCAGGTTAATGGCCCTCAATAAACTCTCGGCTTAAACACACGACAACGACAACCACAATAACTTCCATCCCTACAACTTTTGGGTTCAATAAATTGTGTCGGTTTCGGAGACGTTCAGCTACTTTACCTGTTTACTCTACCCCTCCCCCCTCCAGGTAGCCTCCCCCCTCCTACACTCCTCAGGGACCTTCACCCCCCCCCCCCCACATCCTCCAAGGCGCTTTATTAACTTAATTTTGATACACCTGAAAAAATACAAGTCGTCATATATATAAAGTGATTCTGATTTTATACGTAAATAACACTTAACTGATCTGGTCATGTCCTGGGGGAGGGAGACGGGGGCAGGGGTAAGAGTCATTGGGCAGGGGTGAGGGTGAGGGGTGGGGTGGGGGAGAAACAGTAGTGTGAATATAGTCGTTGAAACTGCAATCTGCAATTTATCTGTTTGTTGTTTTACTTTGGCAACCCGGAGGAGAAGTGTGTGTGGGGGGGGACGTAGTAGAGATGTGTGGGGGTCGGAGGAGGAGATGTGTGGGAGTCGGAGGAGATGTGTGGGTAGGGAGGAGGAAAAGATGTGTGGGGGTCGGAGGAGGGCGATGTGGGTAGGGAGGAGGAAAGATGTGTGGGGGTCGGAGGAGAGATGTGTGGGGGGTCGGAGGAGAGGGTGTGTGGGTGTCGGAGGAGAGATGTGTGGGTGGAGGAGGAGGAAAAGATGTGTGGGGGTCGGAGGAGATGTGTGGGTGAGGGAGGAGGATGTGTGGGGGTCGGAGGAAGATGTGGGTGAGGGAGGAGGAAAGATGTGTAGGGGAGGGAGGAGGAGGGCGATGTAGGGGAGGAGGAGGAGGCAGAGATACTTAGGGGAGAAGAGGAGGGGGTGAGGGGGGGCTACTCCCTGCTTAATACTTGCTAATATAACTTCCTGTAATACACGACGCCTTCTCCCGGCCCGCGAGCTTCCAAGGACACAGTCTTAGGAGTCACCGTCAACATTACTCAGAGACTCTTAAGACGAAGACTACAACTACGTCCACATTCTTTCATTAACATAATATGACTCAATATAGCATAACAGACGAAGAAATTATAGTCTAAAAATGAGAGAGAGAGAGAGAGAGAGAGAGAGAGAGAGAGAGAGAGAGAGAGAGAGAGAGAGAGAGATACACACTTGACCCACATAAAAATAAAGGACTCGGGGTACAGTGGGGACATCTGTTCTCTCGTCCATTCGACTCTGCCAGTGAATTAATTCCAGCAAATTTCGCCTTTCAGGATTTAAAATCTGGATGGGTCATTAAAACATCTGGATTGGTACAGTATTCTCTGAGTGAACACTGTGGGGGGCTGTGTGTAGGGGTGTTAGTGGGATGTGTAGGGGTGTTAGTGGGGGTGTGTAGGCCTGTGTGTAGGGGGTGTTAGTGGGATGTGTAGGGGGGTGTTAGTGGGGGTGTGTAGGCCTGTGTGTAGGGGGTGTTAGTAGAGACATTTAATTCTCATTATGGTTGTGTTAAAATTTAAATAAAAAGTTTATTTACCCTGAACAAAAAAAAAATACGTAAACAATAATAACAATATTGACACGACTGAGCCTAGTTCTGTGTATGGCCAAATTTTTTTTGTACGGTGAATGGCTGTTTGGAGTGAGGCGGCTTGAGTGAACATAGTACTCGCTTCCTGCCTTGAGAGGTGGTGGTTCAATCCTGGGCCACTCCCATTCAACCCAGCTGTAAATGGGTACCTAACTGTATAAGATCGGAAGTGAAGGTTTAATATACAGTGTGTCTCTAGGATCCACTTTCCCGTGATTATGACTGTGTTTAGTTCTAAGGATGGTTAGGTCAGGTGATGGTTGGTTTTTATTTCGTCAAGCTGTTTGTTTCGTGTGTTTGTGAGCCAAGA